CACCACGCAGGAAGGATCTAAAGCATAACAAACTTACCGAGTACCCAAGCCAAAACAGAAGTCTTGTTTAGAAATCATGCATGATTCCTAAATATACAAAATTTGCCTAATGACAACACATGCAAAAAGATCAACATCAGCAGAGCTCGGCTTCTAAACATGGCATGTGGAATGCTACAACTAACAAGTATTCAACTCGGTAATTGAAATACAATGCAGTTAGTATGATCGGCAGCCCGGTGCATGCAAAACTAGACTGAATGGAATGCAAACCATGTCTATCATACTGTATGCTAATGAAACATGCCCTAATCTAAACCATCATAAGCTGTAAAATAAAAGGAGAAAAGACGTGGGGTTGGAAGGACATTACATCACACACACGCACAACTTATTAAACATTGCCCTCGCTCGGAGGCTGAATAAATAATACAGTTCCGAATAATATTACAGTCCACAATAATTACAAAACTCCTAATTATTAATTAATTAATCTAGGAAAGGCAGTAATTGCACGCAAATTCGTGTACCGCTCGCTCTGTTTCGGAAGATGAATGATGCATGCTGCGGGTTGCCTGTTGTCGAGAAATCCCTTGTGATGCCACCTGTTTGCCTCTGTTTCAATTGTTCTTGGAATACGGTGCAAGCTCCGGAAGGCTTGCTGATTCTTGATTTGCTGCAACAGCAGAGCAACAAAGGGGCCATAGCAAAAGTATTTTCACGCATTAAGTATGCATGACTATTCTCTTCAGGCAGTAATAGTCCTCGATTCCTCATGTCACCAGTCACGTATTTCGATGCATGATGGCCGAGGAGTCAAATTGCACGACTCAATATGAAATATATGCACGGAAAACACAACAGGGCCTAGACTCCATCATGCGGATAATCCGGAGTGTCGGCGACCAGGAATTGAGGCACGTTCCGTCACTCGGAGTACGAAACGTCCTCGTTTCCCGTGCTCGAGCTAACTCCTATCCCAAGCACAATGCAATATGCCATGACATGCATGATGCAACTAATATCAACTACATGCACAAGCTATGCAGATGGCATACACAATGCACGAATGTAAACAAGCATACACATATCTCTAACAGCAACACTAGCCAACGCAATGCTATATAATGAAATGGCATACCAATGGCACAATGGACTTACACAACATGATGGCTCAGCACACTCACATCAGTGGCATAAAAAAAAGAGCGACAGCTGAGGATGCGGCACACGATGCACGCAAACCGAGGACCGATCCTAAGTGCACAAATGCCACTCTACAAAGCATGGCAACGGCATGGGATATGGTATGTACATGCCACAAATGCACCAATGCACGCAAACGAAGTTGGTTTCCTCGGCCAATCTGAATGCCTGTGGGTGAAGGTTGGGTTATTTGGATTGGAACAATTCATTCACTGTGAGTTTTAAGCCTACTAGATAGTGGCAAAATCATATTTTCTAAGCCCACCCAAGGGTGGCAAAATTTGCATTTTAAGCCTACTTACGAGTAGCAAACCATCATTCAAAAACAAACATGAAATGTTCTGTTCCAATTCAAGCGACCCGGTCTATACTTGTATGCTGTGCGCATCATATAGTAAATCTAAGCTAATAACCGGAATAAGAACGCATAATGTTTTCAAAAATAGATATCATGGTTACAATTCTCATATTTGTAATTTATCTCCTGCCGATTGTCAAAAATAAATAAATAAATAAAAAACTAGTCGAAAGAAGAAACTCAACCTTAGCAAGGTCTGAGGAGGGCAAGGAGTACAACTTTTACCCAAATTTTTAGAGACTATTGTCATAAATCAAACCCGTGTCACTAGGATGCTAACAACAAGTCTTATCATTGGGCCAAGCTGCTCTTTTGAGTTTTCCATTTATATTCAATTCCAACTTTGTTAAATACTTTCTTTTCCTTTTTATGCATTGTCCTAGTGTGCAAGTGTTTTGTTATAAAACTATTAGTTTTGAGTTTCTAATTGTGTAACATTATATTTACATATTACATGGAGCAGTTGATTTTTCACAATATCTTTCCTCCTCTTTAGTATACTTTTGGCTTATTGTGTATACTTTTAAGAAATGTCTATTTAAATTAAATTATTATGTAATTTTTCTTTTGTTGTAAGGTCTTATGATTTTTGATCTGATCCAATAAACTTCTCCAACAGTCCAATTTAGGATTTTGATTTTGACAACGTTGGTAAGCAAATACAACTTTGGCAATTTGAACTGAAGTAAATTTTATTTATTTATTTATTTTTTTTCTTAATAAGCAACAAAGATTTGTATTAGAGAACTTACCAAGGGGTTACAATCCTTGTACAATCTGAAAAAAGAAAAGGAAAAATATACAAAAGATAGATCCAAACTCCCCACAACAAACCAAAAAACAAAATAATCCCCAACTACTAAAATGTTTCAATTGAGTGCTGAAAAAACTTTACATAGTAAGTTCATCATGCTTTGGTGTGTTTGCAGGAAAATTTGGAGCTGTTTTCGCTTCAATACCTTTCCCTATATATGCTGCATTGTACTGTGTTCTCTTTGGCCTTGTGGGTACGCTATTAGCATTGAGAAGATTTATCTCGCTCATATTTTGTTTTTCTGCGCTTCACAAGATTTCTTTGTGTGTGCAGGTTCAGTCGGCCTCTCATTTCTTCAATTCACTAACATGAATTCTATAAGAAATCTCACTATAATAGGGCTCTCATTCTTCCTTGGGATATCTATTCCTCAGTTTTTCAATGAATACCAGACTTTTCACAGAGGTCTTGTTCACACCAACGCTGGATGGGTGAGTATAATCTGAACAAACCCTGATAATTGAACCCATGTTATCATAACAATTCAACTGAAAAGTCCATACATAAAATAAAAAATAAAAACTCTGGTTCGGACATCTGTCTTGATTCTCAAAATTCAATGTTGTTTTGATGTAGTGGAACTGTATGAGAAAACAAAGCCAGAAACCGGGTGCAATTTCAGTCTTGTGATGATTTTAAATATTGACTCAAGTTTTTTTTTTTTTAATTTTAATAGCTTTAGAATTAGGATATTTTTGAATCAGACCAGGTTGAAATTATTTGATAGATATCAAATTGACAAAAAGATAAGGTGAGAGAGAATAGATTGAAATGATTTGGTCATATATAACGGAAACCAGTAGAGACAGTAGTGAAGAGATGCGGCACAGTAACGGTAGATGGAAGTATTAGGGGAAGGGTAGTAAATAGAGATATGAATTTCTTTATTTGGACTAACCAAATGGTCTCTGATAAAGTCGAGTGGAGAAGAAGGATTCATGGAGCCGACCCCATTTGATAGGACTTAAGGATTCATGGAGCCGACCCCATTTGATAGGACTTAAGGCTTGGTTTGGTTTGGTTTATCTTAAACTGACAAAAAGCTTGAGTGAATTCTAAATTTGAAACCTTGTTACATGTAACATGGAAAATAATGAGGCATGTCTTGGAATGTAGCACCTAATATGTGTTTTCCTATAAATGAAAGAAAAAAACAAAAAATACAATCAAGGGAGCCTCTACATACTTGTTTTAATGCACTTAACGGTTGTCTCCTTTTAGAGAGTGATTGGACCTCCTTCGTGGTTGCCCTTTTGGGTATGTGTGTCATAGTGCAACTATAATACACACTATAGTACAATAAGACAGATTTACTCTTGACATATTATACCGGTTTCTTTTGCAGTTCAATGCATTCCTGAATACCATATTCTCTTCCCCACCGACAGTGGGATTGATAGTTGCAGTGTTTCTCGACAACACAATAGAGGTAGAGAAATCGAAGAAAGATCGAGGGATGCCATGGTGGTTGAAGTTCAGAACATTCAGAGGAGATAACCGGAATGAAGAGTTCTACACACTGCCATTCAATCTCAATAGGTTCTTTCCACCAACATAACAAGGTTTTTTTTACCCAAATCATCAAAGCAACAATGTCCTTTTTTTGTACCCACAATTCAATTAACATTGTGATTAGTGTTTTCCTTGGAGCTGGATATCCCAGCTCTGCAACATGTCTCCATTTTTTTGGGGGGCCCATGTGTAGCCAGGTCCCAATAGATTGGTAGAATTTTTGATTCATGTATTTCTAGGTTCTAAACATTAGTATAATAAGAATTGGCATTAAGTCTTCCTAAGGACTCTCTTTCTCTCTCTGAAGCTTTGTTTGTTTTGATGGAAAAATGCTTTATTGTGTTCGGTTGTGATCTAAAAATGTGGACAGTGACACTGGCGGTAGTGTGGTGGTAGTGGCGTCAACAATGGTGCTGGTTGTGTGATAGTAGTGGTGTAGTGTAGTGATGGTTGAAGTGCTGGCGGTGGTGGTGTGGTAGTGGTTCAGGCTGCAAACAAACTAAAGTTATTCGTGAAAAGCTCGAGCTCAGCTTATTTAGAGCTCATTTGAGCTCAAGCTGTATTTCCAAGCTCGTTTATTAAATGAGTAAAGTTTGAGCTTTGAACAAGGTGGCATATGCTCGTTGTCGGTGCTGCTGCTTGGGTTTTGTGGTGATGGATGAGGAGACGGAGATGATTGTGGCAGCGGTGGTGGTGATGTGGGTGGCGGTGTTAATGGTTGTAGTTGTGATAGTGGTGGTTCTAATAGTGAGACTAGTCTATCTTACTAGTTTTGGAAAAACCTTTTTAGCCCTTTAGAAGGTCAGAAACATTTCCTATCCAAATTATCTCATTTTTGGTTGATTTTAAAGAAAATTTATGTTGATTTTTGTTTTTCTATCATACTAAATGAACAGGATTGGGTCTAATTACATTTTGGTGAATGAAATGGACTTTTGTACAGAAGAAGAAATGAAGAAAGTTATGAAATTTTGTCTCGTTTGTACATGTTTGTTATTTTTATTTCATATAATTCTCAAACCTTAGCATTGTCATTCTAATATTGTAATCTTATAATTTTCATTCTAATCTTATTGGTTTGAGTAGCAGACTCTTATTTTTTTTTAAGTTCTAGTTAATGCAATGTTGCACTTTTTTGTGGTTGTTAATGTTTATCTTAGAATTCCGGAAAATTGAGAAATAATTATGTCCTAACATAAAGATTAACCTTATTTGAACAATGAATGAAAATGGCTTTTGCACCTAGTTTCACGTTCTTAAGAGGGTATAGAAGCCTCTGGTTGTAATTCACATCCATTCTATCATATATTATGGGAATTGATTTATATAATTCCACTTTTTACTCTTACAATTTGATTCAAATTTTACGTTTTTAACAATTTAATATAAATTTTACTTTATAAAATTAAAGTCAATTGCATCCTTTCATTAAGTTAGTTAGCAACATTAATGATTTTATGATTAGGATACTACTTTAACAATATCTTAAAAATTAACAAAAAAATAAGTTGAAATTGAAATTGTTCAACTAAAATTTAAGTCAAAATATGAGTTCAAAATAAAATTAACCCTTAAAAATTTATAATTATATAAATTATTAAAGTTGATCATTAAATTGAGTAAATATGTAAATAGTATTCATGAAAAAATGGTCACTAACGAAGGTTTGAACCAACCAGTGCGATAACTTGATCAAAAATGAAAAGACTTAATAATTTTTTATTAACCAATATAAAATGGTTAAGAATTTCATATTAAATAAGAAAAATTGTGGGCATGTTTAATTTGGTTTTGGGTGAGTGGTTTTTAAAAATTATTTTAGGGAGAGAGTTTAGAAATTTTTTAGATTTGTTAGGTTGTGTATTTTGAAAGTAATTTTGGAGTTTAGGAGTTTAGAATGATTTGATATTTGTTATAATTGAGTAAATGTGTGTAAGAAAAAAAGTGATTGAGAAGAACAAAAGAGAGAGAGAAAAAGTAATTGATTGAAAGATAAGAGACAGAAAGTGATTTTATAAATTAGTTTGAAAAATTTACAAACCAAACAAATTTTTTAGAAATTTTTTTCCAAAATCACTCTACAAATACAAACCAAACATACCCTGTATATTTTTTCTTTCTTAACTTTCTAATTTGGAAAAAGATTGAGACTCTCTTTTTCCTCGAACTCCATCATCCTAATGTATTGAAATTGGCTAACTTTTTGTTTTTCATTTTTTTTTTCTTCCTATCATTTGTTGACATATGTCTATAAAGATTGTGGAGATCAAGAAAAAATGTGATATTCCCTCTTTTTCCTTAACCCCCACAATCCTCCCACAACCCCTCTTTTTCTTTATAAAAATGTTTGAGTCTCCCTTTTCTTTTCATCCCTTTTGACCCCCTTTCCTTCCAATTGATCAGTTTTTCTTTTTTATTTTTTTTTCTTTTCCTTCTCCTCCAATCACCACCCGCCACGTGTGTGTGGGAGTGGTGATTGGAAGAGGTCTCTATCAATGCTCTTTTCCTTAACCGTAATCCTCCCATAACCCCTCTTTTTCCCTAACCCCCACAATCCTCTACGGCCCGTTTGTTTTGAGTTATAGAGAGGAGATTAAGATTTATAGTGATATAAAATCCACTAATATTATGTTTGTTTTAAACTACGAATTCCCTTGGAGAGGAGATTAAGATAAACCTATAAGACTTGGTATTAAAAAAATAATCAGACAGATTAGAAATTTTTTATTTTTATTTATTTTTTACATGTCGGACATTGTTTTTTAACATTAATGTTTAATTTTTTATATTTTTTATTAAGTAAAAATCATTATTTTATTTGTTTTATTTTATTCTAAAAATTTTTTATTTTATTTTTATTCTTTTTAAATTTTTTACATGTTGAATATTTTTATTAAAACATTAATGTTTAATTTTTTTATATTTTTTTATTTTTTATATTTATTTTATATAAAAATAATTTGACAATCTCTACACTAACAACTATTATCAAAACAAACACAATTTTACTTAATTCTCTAACTATTAATTTCTTTCATTCTATCTCTGAAAACGAACGGACTTACAACCACATCTCTCTAAACACATATCAATAAGTAATAGAAAGGAAAAAAATAAAAAATAAAAAATTTAGCCAATCAGAATATATTAGGAATGGTGGGAATAAAAAAGCAGTCTCGTCCTTTCTCTTTTTTTTTTATTTTTTTATTTTTTAAAAGAAAGATTAGCTAATTTTATTTTAAACTTGTCTTTCAAAATCTCCCACTAAATTTTAAAAACAGACCAAAATTCTTATCACATGATTCAAATCACTTCCTTCATTTTCCATTTTTTTCTGTATTAAAAGCTATTCATCAGCCCAAGCTTTTTAAATTCTCGAAACTCTTATTTTGTTCATTCATCCACCATTTCTGGGTCCAAAATTTGTTAAACAAACTTCAATCAATCCACTTTCTCACCAATTGTGGTGAGAGCATTTTAAAAATTCCATCACATCCATTATTAAATTTAAATTTATTAAAAAAGCTTACTTTCAACGTTTCATCAAATTAAAAATAAATATAATGAAATCATTGTTCATTACCTTTAAATTTTTCCCACCGAAAATTTCTCAAAACAAAAAATTATAAAAATTTACCCTCAACCAACCGAAAATTGTGAAAAATTTACACTCAGACCACCCGATCGTAACCAATGATGGACCGATAATTTGATAAAACCTTAAAATTCGTTGTGAAGCAGTTGATATTAAAAAAAACTTTTACTCAATTTGTTATAAAAAAAAAATGTAACCCTCAATACATAAATTTGATGATTAACAACAATTATAATTTTTCATTTAAAAAAAGACAAAAAAAACAAAACAAAACTAGTATTTTACAAATAAAATACTACTATTTTCAATTATCAGAAAATTAATTTTATACATAATACATATTTATATGATCGAGGCCTCAGATAGTCGATCTGTGTCATCACGGTGATTCAGTCGGTAATTCCAACTTAAAAGATAATAATCCTCATTGGCCTCATCAAAAATTAAATAAAAGAATATAGAAACTGTAATCGCACAAACCGGCACCATGGACGAACAGCATTGAATCGATCCACAGATTCCTATCTAAATGCGAAACAAAAATAGTTTTTTTGATTTTGGTCCAATCATAGCATCGCCGGTCAATGCTCGTTGGTGGTTTGGAGTGTCATACGGCACTTCCTATCAATGGGAATTCTTCCTCATAGGGAGAGAGAGACAGAGAGAGAGAGAGAGAGAGAACAAGAAGAAAAACAAATTTGAAAAGCTAATCTTCGAACTTTCTGGAAGTGAAATCGCAGACTAAACCCTAACGCAGACCCCTTTGGCAATACAATGCTATGCGGTACAAGGATGAAGGGTGGGTGAGGGGGGCTTATATACAATGATGGGATTGAATTGAAACCCTAATTTCATGACCTGAGCTTGACGGCTCTTGAGGGACCTTTTTTTATTCGAATCAAGAAGTGGGCCGAGCCTGGTGAAGAAGCCCAGTGTCGTACAATGGGGTGTTTGGAAAGAAAAAAAATATATTAGTTTAGGTTAAAATTTATAAAAAGATAAAATAGGCTAAAATAATTAATAAGACAAAATATCACATCAAACCCATAATCATTTCACTTTTTTTCTCACAAATATTACATCCAACCATAAAAAAATCCAATCATTTTCCCAAACATAAAAATTTTAGCCTACTAAAATAGCCAAAAACTAAAATAGCTTACTAAAATAGCAACTTCCCAAACGAAGCCAATATATGTAGCATGTGGACATAGACCAGAATGTCCGAGCCCAAACCCGGGCTGCTCAATCCAAACGGCATGTTTGTTTAGACAGACTAGATGAGGAGAGATTGTAATCTACTGAACTGTTGGTCTTAGATACATTATTCGCGAACTATTTGGTTAGATTAGATTTGTATCCTATGTTTGTTTAATCATTAGATTAGATGTTTGGATTGGATTATTTTATTAAATTTTATGTTTGTTTGAGATATTATGTGAAATGATAAATGCTCAAAAGACTATTTTATGTAAAGATCTTAACTTTTAGTAATTATACTTGAAATCCTAAGTCTTAGGTTCATAGCATTTTAGCCCCTAATTTCGTAAAAATTTGCAAAACGGTCCAATAAAAAATAATTTGCTTGTATATTATTATAATTGAATCCTAAAACATCATTTTATAATTGAAAATACCCTAACACTTGGTTTTTATTTATTTTACCTCATAATTTCTAAATTAATCCATACATTTTATCTTTTTTCTTTCATTTATTATTTGTTTGAACATGAATATTTACATAGGTATTTATAAATATTATTTTGGGAAAAATTTGGTGTGGAACCACCTAAAAGACTTAAGAAAAATATCTAGATATTTACTAGTCTTCTACTTTCCTTAGTCATTAAGATAGAGGGTAAAATTATTATCACGACCTAAACTCGCCGCTATAGATTTAGTGTCATAATCGGCCAGTAATCCGAGATTACCAAAGGTCTTTTTGTACAAATCAAAATAATCGAAGCTAGCGGAAGCTTAATATAAAACTATATATAACAAGTGGTCCAATGAGCTATAATTCTATATGAAATAACACATGCACATAACGTTAATTTACCCACCCTATATTGCATGCTTAATACCTTGTACAAAAATACATCATTCATGTACATATATACATAAAACAAAATCTCAATACCATGATCAAAACTAGATAACGGTACGGTTCTCTGGACCTAGCCTTAACTTGGAGGCACTAAGATCTCAAAAGCTTTAGGCAGTGGCTCGACTAATGGTGTTCATCTAAGCTTGATCTTCATGTCGCCCACCTATATATATATATATATATACACACACAGTGAGTTAAAACTTAGCGAATAACATTAAGGTAAATGGGTTAGTGAACGAATTCCAAATACATCATATCTGTAAAACGAATCATATCACAATTATTCTCATATCTAAACATAATAATGGTATATCCAATAGAACAGAACATATCGTCTTCCGACTAGAGTAATCGGTTTCGGATACCAATTAAACACATTACCACTTTGTCAAATGGCTAACAAGATCTCAAAATCACATATATATCATGGACCCTGTCATGACCCAAACCCGCCCTTATAGGTTTAGCATCGTAACCGGCTAGTAATCCTTGGATCACCGAAGGCCTCTGAACAGATTAGCAAATAATAGGGGCTAGCGGAAGTAAATACATAAATGTAGTTGTCCAATGAACTGTGCTGACTTATATGAAACAAAATATTTAAAAACTTTATATACAATAACCAAAAGTCAACCATGCATTATACCCACACACATTAGAGTATTTTAAGTACAGCCAGCAGAATTAAATCAAGTCATACATATACATAAAACCAACAGAACTTGAACACAGGACACTTCGGGAACCTCCACGTGAGGCACAACAGTTGGCTGACAACGGATCACAGATCTAGACAAAAGCCTTCGGGCTTGAACTCCAGAATGCTCACCTATACATATATATATATATATATATATACGAACAGTGAGCTAAAGCCTAGTGAATAACATTAAGATAAAGAGGTTAGTGAACGAAATCCGAACATATCATAAGCGGAAAATAGATCATAGCATAATCATCTTCATATCAGAACATAATAATGGTACAGCCCATAGAACACATCACAGAACGTCTTCTGACTAGAGTAACCGGTTCCGAATACTAATTAAACACATATCACCACAATGAAGTGGCTAACGAGATCTCGTAATTACTTGTATGTCATGGACTTACATTTTCATGCC